GGTGGAGCTCCCTATAGGGCTACGAAGCGCTGTTCTGGGTGGGTGAAGCGCAGGGAACAAGGGCTGTGCTGGGTGGTGGCGGACGCAAGCGGGCAGTGCCACTGGGACCTTTGGTGGAGCCCCCTATGGGGCCACGAAACGTGCGAGGGGTGTGCCAGAATGGGGTGTGGAACCGCATGCCAGCGCAGCCACTGGGGCCTTCGGTGGAGCTCCCTATGGAGCCACGAAACGTGTGAGGGGTGTGCCGAAATGGGGGGTGGAACCGCATGCGAGCGCAGCCACTGCGGCGTTCGGTGGAGCTCCCTATGGGGCCACGAGACGTGTGAAGGGCGTGCCGAAAAAGGGGGTGGAACCGCATGCGAGCGCAGCCACTGGGGCCTTCGGTGGAGCTCTCTATGGGGCCACGAACCGTGTGAGGGGTGTGCCGAAATGGGGGGGGGAACCACATGCGAGCGCAGCCACTGGGGCGTTCGGTGGAGCTCCCCATGGAGCCACCCACGAAGCGTGTGAGGGGTGTGCCGAAATGGGGGGTGGAACCGCATGCGGGCGCAGCCACTGGGGCCTTCGGTGGAGCTCCCTATGGGGCCACGAAACGTGTGAGGGGTGTGCCAGAATGGGGGGTGGAACCGCATGCGGGCGCAGCCACTGGGGCCTTCGGTGGAGCTCCCTATGGGGCCACGCCTTCGGTGGAGCTCCCTATGGGGCCACGAAACCAAATTGGGCGTGGAACCGCATGCCACTGGGGCCTTCGGTGGAGCTCCCTATGGGGCCACGAAACGTGTGAGGGGTGTGCCAAAATGGGAACCGCATGCGCAGCCACTGGGGCCTTCGGTGGAGCTCCCTATGGGGCCACGAAACGTGTGAGGGGTGTGCCAGAATGGGGGTGGAACCGCATGCGGGCGCAGCCACTGGGGCCTTCGGTGGAGCTCCCTATGGGGCCACGAAACGTGTGAGGGGTGTGCCAGAATGGGGGTGGAACCGCATGCGAGCGCAGCCACTGGGGCCTTCGGTGGAGCTCCCTATGGGGCCACGAAACGTGTGAGGGGTATACCAGATTGGGGGTGGAACCGCATGCGAGCGCAGCCACTGGGGCCTTCGGTGGAGCTCCCTATGGGGCCACGAAACGTGTCAGGGGTGTGCCAGAATGGGGGGTGGAACCGCATTCGAGCGCAGCCACTGGGGCCTTCGGTGGAGCTCCTTATGGGGCCACGAAACGTGAGAGGGGTGTGCCACAATGGGTGTGGGAGGGGGAGGAGGGGGGAGGAGGGAGGGAGGAAGGAGGCGGGAACGCGAGGCACCGTCTCTTCAAAACGAGGACCCAACACCACAGGATGGTTGGGAACAATAACAACTAACGATTTTAGGTTCTCCGGGCGCTCTCGGGAGGCCTCTCGGAGCTCTCTTGAAGTCTTTTGGAGGCCTCCTGGGAGCCTGGAGAGCCGCCCGAAAGCTATCCTGGGTTGCTTGGAAGCGTCTTGGGCCTTTCTTTTACGTTCTGGGGGTTTCTTGGGGTCGCCTTGGGCTGTGATCGGGCGTTTTGGGGGCCCCCTGGGCGGTCGGGAAACGCGGTATCGAGAGCGTTCCGCAGATGCTCCGGGAAGATGTGGGACCCCCGGGAGGAGGGGGCGCGCATTCTTTTTTATCTGAAATTCATTCCCAACCCTCCTTGGTTGGGCATTCGTTTTGAATAGAACACTGTGGTCGCGTCCTTCTCCTCCTTCTCCCGCCTCCCGTCTCCGGCTTCCGTCTTGTCTCCTCTTGCCTCGCGCGAACCTGGCCATCGAGGGCTGCTGGTGGGTCCTGCGGACTGAGACACCGCGGGGATCTGAGCGAGACCTCCCTGTCCCTGGGGGGCTGCGATCTGCGACACTGTCGCCACTTTCGAGGGCTGCTTGTGGGTCCTGCGCTCTTGGGCCCATCTTGGGCCTGTCATGGGGTGATCTGGAGCTGTTCGGGGCGCCTCTTCGGCAGTCTCTAGGCCGTCTTGGCCCGTCTTGGGGACGTCTTGGGGGCCTCTTGGGCGGTCTTGGGGGCCTCTTCGGCCGGTTGGAGCGTTGGAAGCATCTCTTCGGCCTCTCGGCGCTCTCGGGAGGCCTCTCGGAGCTCTCTTGAAGTCTTTTGGAGGCCTCCTGGGAGCCTGGAGAGCCGCCCGAAAGCTATCCTGGGTTGATTGGGAGCGTCTTGGGCAATTCTTTTACGTTCTGGGGGCTTCTTGAGGCCGTCTTGGGCTGTCTTTGGGTATTGTGGGGGCCCCCCGGGAGCCGAGAAGCGCGGTACCGGGAGCGTACTCGAGATGTGAGCGAGCTGGAGGACTCCCCGGGAGGGGGCCCAGCGTATTTTCCATATATTATATACATACACATACACACATGCACACGTACACACACACATATATATATATATATATATGTAATACAAATAAAAATAAATAAATGGGAGGGGTGCTTGCAAGCGACTGCACCATCTCAGGCTCGGAATCCTGCAACAACCTAAAAAATTGTGAGACAACCCGCTGGGGCCGAATGCGCCCGAATGAACCCGAATGAGCCGCGAATGAACCCTGAATGTACCAGAGTGTACCCCCGATTGAACCCTCCCCAGCGCCCCAGACAGACCCCGACTCAACCCCATGTCGTCGTCGTTGTGTCGGCCGTCGCCGTGGTTCGCCGTTGTCGCTTATCGCCGTTCGTCGGTCGTCGTCCTGAGTCGTTCCGGCTATCGTCGTCCTCGTTGCCTCTGGAATATCACTACCGACGGTAATCGCTTGGCTGGCCAGTCAGGCAGCTACTCTACTAGCGAGAAGATTGACAAGGTGTGTCCGTCTAGTGACTACAATTTGTGTCCACTCATGCGACAACCGCGGAACCCACCCGGCCGGCCGACCAACTGGCCTACCGACCGACCGAAAAACCAAACAACGACCGACGGCGACGACCGACGAATGGCAACGGCGGCGACGACGACCGGCCGAACGAACGAATGACCGATCGACCCCGTGGCCGAGCGACCGAGCGACCGACGACAACGACGACAACCACGAACAACGACGACGACGATTGACCGATCGACCGACCGAAAGATCGACGACGGTGACGACGACCGACTGGCTGGCCGACCGAGCCATCGACGACGACGACGTGGACCGACGGCGACGACCGACAAGAGACAATGACGACGGCAACGACCAGCGACCGACCGACCGACAAACCGACCGACCGACCGAACGACGAGGACAGCGACCGACGGCGACGACCGACGGACGACGACGACAGACCGACCGACCGACCAACAGCGACGAACGACGACGACGAAGACAACGACGGACGGACCGACCGACCGACAGACGACGACGACCGACGATACCGACGGACACCGTCGAACAATTGCTAGAAAACCAAATCTAGAATGCCAACCGCGAACGGCCGAGGTCAAATAATAGAACGCGCGGGCCGGGAAAATCTTTAGAAGGGAGCGCTTCGAGGACGCGGGCCCCACCTCCCCCTCCCCCCCCAGAGACGGGGGTTTCAGCTCTTAGTAATATCTAAGGGGGGGGCAGTTGCAAGCGAATGTGTTAACTTGGGATCCGCCTCCTGCAAAAATCTAGGGAAATTATGAGACCACCCGCTGGGGCCGAATGAACCCGAACGAACCGCGAATGAACCGCCGAATGTATCAGAGTGTACCCCCCACTAAACCCCGCAGACGTCGTCGTCGTTGTGAAGCGGCCGTCGCCGTGGTTCGCCGTTGTCGCTGATCGTCGTTCGTCGTTCGTCGTCCTGAGTCGGTCCGACAGTTGTCGTCCTCGTCGTCGTTTTAAATTTCAGTACCAACATCAGTCACCTGATTGTATTGATAGCCTTAGCCTGGGGCAAGGCCTACCCAAGTCCCTAGGGTTCGCCTCGGGCCAACCGAGACGCCCATCGCGACCGCCCAGACAAGGGGTTACAAGGGGGTGGGTGTCGGTCTCGCCCCAAGAGATTAGGCGGAGCAGCTGGAGAAGGGCGGTCGCGAGGAGGGAGGGGGGAAGGAATGAGGGAAGGAATGGCGAGCGGAGTAGAGGCATGATTACGTCATGTATGCGCCCAACAGCACGATGGCGGAGAGCCAGGGACAGAAGGTGGGGGAGGACGGGATATGGGCAGGGAGCAGGAGGAAGCGGGGGATGAGGAGGGTATGGCGGGTGGGAGTGAGAAGAAGGAGGAAGGGGTATGAAGAGGAGGAGGAGGAGGACAACAACAAAAACAGGAGGCAGGAGATGGGAGAGGGATGGAGAGGAGGGATGAGAAGGAACGAGGAGGAGGAAGCGTGAGGCTGGAGATGGTAAGAGAACAATTTCTCCTCCTCCTCCTCCTCCTCCTCGTCACCGTCTATCCCCCTTGCAGAACTCATCTGGCTGACGGTCGTTCGACGGGCCACTCAGATTCTCCTCCGATTCCTCCTCCTCCTCCTCCTCCTTCGGCCTCCTCCCTCCTACATATTATTTCTCCCACCTCCTCTCCTTCTCGCACCCCTCCCTCTACGTACCCCTTCCCTCCTCCCACCTCCTCCTCCTCCTCCTCCTTCTCCTTCGTCCTCCTCTTCCCTCTTCATCCGTCCCTCCTCTCTGATCCTCATCCTTCCTCCCTCCTCCATGTCCCTCGGGATCTTTCCTCCTCCATCTTCTCCATCTTCTCCCTCCCTCATCCCTCCCCCCTCCTCCCTCAGGAGGACCTATCCAATCCCTCTCCCTCCTCCTCCATCACCCCTCCTCTGCCTCCCTCCTCTTCCAAACCTCCCTCCTCCGTCTCCCTCCCCCCTCTCCACCTCCTCTGGCCTCTTCTCCCTCATCGCTTCCCCCTCCTCCCCTGCCTATTACACCTCCTCCCTCCTCCCTCCAAACATCCCCCATCCCTCATCCCTCCACCCCCCCTCCCTCCTAATTAACATCCCTCCTCCCTCCTCCCTCCCCCCTCCTCGCTTCGCCCAACCTCACCCAGCCCACCCCCCTCCCTCCGTTGGGCCTGGGAGGGAACAGCACGGCCTCAACGGAAATGCACTGGGCGCCCCCGTCGGCCTCGCACCGGAAGCTGCCGAAGCTGCACCGGAAGCCCACGGAGGACAGCGACTCCTCCTCCGCCGCGTCCTGCGCAGCGCTTTTTGAAACAAAAAAAAAAAAAAAAAAAAAAAATGTTCCTCCAGTCGTGAAGGGTGGTTGCGGTGGCGACGTGGGGTCATGACAGGCAATAGCAGAGAGCATCATGGCCTCCTGAAGAAGGCAAACAATTCACCCCTGTAACAACCACCCCGACCAGCGAGGCCGTTCAGTAAACGCGCCCAGCGAAATAATCGAAGAGCGCAAGACTTTTTAGTAAACGCCAAAGGCCGATTAGCAAAAGCCAATCGTCTTGTCCACGTGGTTTTTCCTCCCTTGATCACGGGGGAGGAAAGAAGGCGGCGCGCTCCGGCGTCAAGGGGTTCGAGGACGGAGGGTTCGGGGTTCGAGGGTCGCTGGGGTTGAGGGTTCGAGGATCACGGCTCGAGCCTCGAGGATCCATGCTCGGGGGCCGAGGGCGGAGGGATCGAGTCCAGGATTCGAAGCTCAGGGCCGAGGCTGGAGTGGTCGAGGCTCGAAGGGTCGACGCTCGAACGTCGAAGCGCGAGGTCCGAGCGGTGGGCGCGGCCCTCGCCCCCGGGGGCGGCCGAAGCGCGGCCCTGCCGAAGGCGGCCTTCCGCCCCCCCGGCCTCCGCCCCCACGGCCCGGGCGCCCGCGCCGAGGAGGGGGGGGGCTGCCGCCCCGGATGCCTCCCAGGATGGGGTCCGAGCAGATCGACGACCTGCAACCACGACTGACAACAAGGATGCGCGAATCTCCTTTCACTGGTCTCAAACTTACCCCTATCCCTGAGAGGGCCCAGAGGCGATGACGATCATGGATGCGCCCTCGAGAACTGAAGGAATCCTCAACGTCGGTATTGTTAAAAGACGATGCCAATCATAGGGACAAACACACCCGTCGGACAGAACAAGCGGGTAGAACCATGAAGTCGGAAGGCGTTAGAAGTATATTGGGCTTCCGAGCTTTTGCCTGGATATGAGCTATCCCTGCAATGTGTTCAGATATGATGTCCTGATTCCCCGAAAGTAGGTTTCAAGGCCATGGTTTGGAAGGTAGATTCCGTTAAGCGGATAAGAAAGATGCGCGGTAGGGGGGAGGATGGCCAGCCGACGACACGACGACGACGATGGGAACGCCCCTCGGCGCGCGCGCGGCAGCACGCCCCTTTTATCCTTGATCTCTATGATCGCTATGGCTGCAGATGGCTAATCAGCGCATAAGGAGCAACAGCGACGGCGGTAAGATGGAGGGGCGGGGAGGAGCGCATTAACTCCCCCCACGGCGGGATCAGTAGGCCCGCGTCGACCTACACCCACTCGGCCTGGAATCCTCGGGGGCCAACCCCACATGATAAATTTTACAACTCAACCGAGGTACCGAGGGGCGATGGGCCGAATCAGCCCGACGCATCCCACCCTGCAGCATCCGAACGTCAGCTCAGAGCTTGAAGAAATTCTCCGCCTGTCCTCACGCGCATCGCGCCAGCGAAGCCAAGCGGCGTTGGCCTGGTAACGGCCTAGTCGTACCAGAACATCTGCGCATGTTCATCTCCACCAACAATCGTCTCGCCATTGCTGATTGTTCCAGTCGCGGTTCCACTGCCAACTCCACTGGGCTCGATCAGAAGGGCACTGTCCTCTGTGGTCTTTGCCTTGTTTCCCGTGCCCTTGTCGCTGCCCTTGTCCATGTTTCTGTCCTTGCCTTTGCCAGCTGCCTTTGCCTTCGGCGCCGCGTCGCCCTCGAGCGGCCCGGAGTCAGCATGTCTTGCAGGTCGAACTGGCAATGGTTTAGGCGCGGGCAGCGGCGGCGGCGGCGTAGATGACGCAGCCGTAGCCGCCGCTGGCGCCGCGCGGGCATGCCATTCTGGCACATGATCTCCCGCGGGCACTGCTCCGAGCCTGGATGCCCAGGCTGGAGGGTTAGACCTCCAATCTCGACCCTTGGAGGCACCCTTGGGCTCGTTCATGAAGAGGTCGTCGTACGTCAGCAAGTCGAACCGCATCCAGGTTTCGGAACTTCCACTCGTCGGGCTGCGGCGGCTGATGTGGACCCAGTGGCCACTGATGCGGTGATGGTTGTCCATGTCGGCGTAGTCCCGCGAGGGGTTCCAGCCGCCGCCGTAGTGGTAGCTGTCCTCGACGCTTGCAGGCGCATAGCGCCTCTCCAGCTCATCCGCCCGCGCTGGCTGACCCCTCTCGCCCGCTGCGGACGCGGCGCCCCTTGGGGCTCGGCGACCGCCCCAGCTGAGCCAGCGGACGCCGCAACGTGCGGGCTGGATCTGCGAGCTGCTGCCCGAGCCCAACTCGCCCGCGCAGCGTCGGGGGGTTGCGAGGCACGTCGTTGAAGCGTTTTGGGCGCACGTGCACCTTCGCCCTCGCCTAGATCATCCGGCGTTTCCAGTGCCGCGGGCCCTGGTGCCATGACCGCGTCGACCCCGGAAGCGGCGAAGCCGCTGGGGGCCGCGGCGTCGACCCCCGACGCGGCGGACCCGCCGGGTGCCTTGGCGTCGACCCCCGAAGCGGCGAAGCCGCCGGGGGCCTCGGCGGGCGGATCGGCTGAGCCGACCGCCGCCACGGCCTGCCTCTGCTGCATTTGATAACTCCGACGACCGAGGCGGCGACGAAAGGACCGAAACGACCCGTGGCCCGGCAAACTCTCGCCTCGGTGTCGGCGCCGCCGCCCGAGATGGAAAACGCCGCGGCGTCCTGGCTCTCGCAGCAGAAGCGTCGAACCTCGCGACGGGCTCCCGGGCCAAGGCCTTCTGTCCGCTCTCCCAACAGATCTGATGATTGAATCGCTGACCTGATGCGGCAGTCGAGCGCGTAGGCATCGGCCCGCCGCCGGTCTGGGTCGAGGTCCCCAACTTGCTCAAGACGGCTCTCATCTTGGTTGGGGAAAGAGACGTGCAAACCGTCGATTATGGAGGGGGAGATGATTTCTCGGACACGTAGGAAAACTCTGCCCCACCGCTGGTGCATCGGCATGCCCTCGCAGGGCTGGCCCCACATTTCAGAAACCAACGCAGCAAGCCTCGGGGTGACCTCGTGGGCCACTTCCCCACTCAGTCTCCCCTCTTCGTCCGATGGGGCCAGATGTTCCAGGAAATGCTGGGCAGCGACGTTGTGGGCGTCACGCTTGCAAATGAAAATTTGCACTTGGCCATCCGCCTGAGTAGTCCGGCGAGTCGCGCTCGCATGTTGCATCGCAGGACCCCTCAGAATTTGAGCCCCCCCGCCTCCAAGAGGGGCGAGGTCGGGCCAGTGCTGCGTCTCCGAAACGGGACCCGAACCAGGAAGGTTCAACTCGATGTGCCGTGGGATCGCGGACCCAGCAGAAGGCGCAAAGCCTCTGGACCCCTCGGAAATCTCGTTGCGTCGCGACGCTGATCTGGAGGTCCGGCAAGGGCGGCTGCCGAGGGGCATGCTTCTTGGGCAGACTAGAGCGGCCTTGTAGCGATCAGTGCGGCCGATTCATTTTGGCTGGCGCGAGGGCGGCGGCGTCGTCCCAGACTTGGCCCATGCCGAACTTGCCGCGCGGGGGGCGCCATTAGCGGTGATCTCCGCCAGCGCAGAAAATCTGGATAGCACCTGATTTGGAACGCCCCACCGCCTCATCAATAGTGCGCTCGGCAGTCTCAACTGACGGGCCGAACGCCCTGCTCAGAAGGGCGGAGCTCCTCCGGGACTTTGGCCCTGCGATGTCTAAGCCGAGCAGGTTATAGACCACTCCGTCCGCAGCGTCGTTCAGGGTCCAGAACGCGACCTCGACAGGCGCGCGCTGGCTCGGGACAAACTTGCCAGTCGACGCACGTCCGTTCGTCGTCCAGTCATTCTCCCGGCCGCGCTCGCGCAAGGTCTGCCCCCGCAGCCCCCCTTGACTTCGGCGTAAACGCCATGAAAATACTCTGCCATCGCGTACTGAACCTCTTCCGCCTTGTCAATCTGCTTGTAGCCCCACTGGGTGGCAGAGCTGAGGCATGACTCGTAAAGACTGCACGTTGCTTCAGATACGACGTGCGCAGCGGCCGCCCAGAAGGCATTGAGATGTTTGTGCCTTTTGAGCATGAACGGGCGGGAGAATTTCTCCAACTTCCGCCCCGCCCTCAATGTCTCTTCCGGCGAAAGGAATCCACCCGTGACCATGCCCCTCCGCCAAGCGGGCGATGGCCCAGCACTGCCCAACACGCTCCCAAGCAAGACCAAGAGGCCTACAAGACGGCCCAGGAGGGCCCCAATAACCAAACGGAGGACAGGAACCGAGACCCCCAAGACGCCTCCAGGAGGCCGCGAAATGCCCCTGCGTGGTAACCTCTCCAGCAGAAAGCGGAAACCAGTCGAGCCATGCGACCCAGGCGCGCGCGCGCGCGCAATGCGACATTCAGCTACAAATCGACCCGTTAACTGATTGTTTGGCGGAAAGCGGGTCGCATGCGGGTATCAACAGCGTAGTGTCAACAGCACAGCGTCAACAGCGTGAGCAAAACCGTCGACGGCGCAATGTCAAAGCCGGACTAAAAGCGGGCAGGGAACGCGCAGCGTCCGTGAATGCCAACAGCGTAGAGCCAACACCGCAGTGCCAAAAGTAGCAGCGAGCGAGCAGCGTACAAACAGCGCAGTGCCAACTGCGCAGTGTCAAATGTAGGAGCATGCAAGAAGCGTACAGCGTCTTTTGTGAATGTCAACAGCGTAATGTCAGCAGCGCAACGCAGTGTCAGAGGTACGAGCGGGTACAAATGGCGTCCAGCGTCTGCTGTTAAAGCCAGCAACGCTTTTGAATGCCAACGAGGTAAGGTCAATAGCGCAGTACCATGTATTCAGGAGCGCGGAGCCTCTCCTTTCAATGCCAACTGCGAACAACGATGTAGTACCAACGGCGTAAGTGTCAAACATGTCAGAGATTCAGGAGCGCAGAGCCTCTCCTCTTAAGACCAACTGCCAACAACAACGTAGTCCCAACAACGTAGTGTCAACACCACAGCGTCACATATTAAAAGCGTACAGTACCTCCTCGCAACGCCAACGACGCAATGCCAAAAACGCAATGTCAGCAGCGCAATGTGGCGAATGAGCAGAATACACCCCCTCCTCTGAATGCCAACAACGTAATGACAACAAAGTGGTGTCAACAGCGCAATATCACATATTAGAACGTACAGTCTCTCCTCGTAATGCCAACAACGTAGTGTCAACAGTGCAGCGTCACACATTAGAAGCATACACTATTTCCCCTTGGTGCCAACAGCGTAATGCCAACAACGCAGTGCCACATATTAGAAGCCTACCGTCTCTCCGCTGCCAACAACGTAGTGGCAATAGCGTAGTGTTCATTCACACTGATTTACGTAGTGTCAACAACGTGGTGCTAATTCACTGTTAAAAGATACCATGCGCAAGCAAGCCTCGGCGCCCCCGCTCGAGACCCCACGGCAATCTCGGGGAACTTGCGGAGAAAAAGGCGCGGAAGAGTTGCAAGAATCAAGCCAACCAGTTCGAGCGAGTCAGGGGGCACCGCCCTTTTCCACCCACCCTCCCACACTAGGGCCGCGAA